ATTAACCAAGCCCGAAAAGTATATGATATCTTAGACAGCTTAAAATTTCGTATGGTCAAAAGAGTCATTTTCCTTAGTGACTTAAATACTCCATGAGAGGCAAACAAATAAGCCTTAAGCAGAGGACAATCCAAAAAATAAATAAAAAAATACGTTCAACCTGATTCAAACATAATTCACAATGTATCATTCAAAATTTTCCTATAAAAAAGAAGTTGCTTAGTATTCCCTTAACCTCTCAAAACTTTTTCTGTAAGAAAAGTTCCTACCCGGTGTAACTTGAGCAGGTTAGGCTGAGTTTAAGCTCAACCTAGGCCTAATCCTAAAAATTGGACTAGAGGCCTCAGCTCAAGGTCAAGTTTGATTTACTCAACCCAAGCCCAACTTGCACTGAAAAAATTGGCATATTAGGGTTGGTCAATCAGCCTACATTGAACATATGTTTATCATTTATGTGTATATGTAAATATGTACACATATATTCATGTATGTATCTATATAAAGGATTTTAAAACTGGACCGGACAGAAAACCATTATGGGGTCCGGTTCTCAAGTCGAACGGTCTGATCGTTCAATCCGAATGAACAACCCACTCTGACAGAAAATAATAATAAAAAAAAAATGGCCAAAACCATTGTTTGGGTCGATGGTTCGACCACATGGGTCAGCATTTTGCTGATCAAATCAACGGCTTTTAGCCAAAAAGTAGTTTTGGGGTAAAACGAAACCAGTCAACTGATCGATTCCTGATTTTCTGGTTCTGACTATCCCGTCCAGTCCATCACATTTGTACTACATTCATTTTTTCTGGACATGTATTAATTTCCCAACACTCAACTACATACAACATAGTGGGCCTTACAATTGTTTTTATAGATTTTTCCTTTTAAGTTAAACTGGAAATCAGCATCTATGACCATGATAGTTTGAAAAAAAAAAAGAAAACGTTTTAGTGTTGATTGTTAACTTGACGCAATCCTCCTTGTTTATAAGGAGGGCTTGGAACCAGTGGTATACAAATTTATATATAAGTATAAAATAATAAATTTATGCATATAAAATAACAGTTTTTATAATATTTATGCGTATGTGTAACTATCTTATATGTATTTTATATAAAATTCAATCAAGGCTTGGGTCATAAGGAGGTCAAATTGAATTAGAATTTGGTTTGTTCAAGTACATGGTTCATCTTAAGTCTAATGGGTGTTCTACAAAATGAATGTTTTTGTAATCGTAACATCATTGAGGAAAAAAAAAGCAAAAAATACTTGTAAATTGTAATTTTGTTTTGAAAAGTAAAATAGAACTTGATTTTATAAGAAAAAACAAGTCATGTTGATGTTCACCAAAAACAAAGATTAATTTGACAAAACGAAACACAATTAATATATACTTTCATATCACTTGATTGAGCCCGGTGATTGGGCCATATAAAAAATGGTAAATAATATATTTTCATCCTTTTATTTCCGTGTAAAGATGTTTATGGCATATGGTATGTAGGGTTGTAAATCAATTGGATTTGGATTGATTCTGCATTTGTATAAAACCTTTAGATCTTGAATCAGATTCAGATTTAATCTACAACTATTTTATTATATTTAAAATGTCTAAAAATACCTATGTATCACTGCCTCAAAGTACAGGGTTCTATCTGTAATTTACCTTTTTTGTGTGCAAAACACTCATCACATCCTTTTATCGTTGTAAGTTTTAACCACTTATTGGTTAACCACTACAATATTGATTTTTTATTTTTTATGGATACTAGAACATTGAACCACGAATCATAATAATATCAAAATATCAAAGCTTGACAAACAGGAACATTGTTACGGTAATTCTCACATTAGCACAAACTTCAACCGTCATCGGAACTTGTTGTGGGTTCTTTCTTTGTTTCCAGGCCGCGTTGGCGGTTAAAAAGACCTGATCCGTACCAGTTATTATCGTTTTACTGACTCCTACACGCACGACCCGATGACCGGTCCTACCCTTGCCAGATGCCTAGTTGCCTTCAATTGTCTTCTCGAGGATTTTAAGTTATGTTTGATTTGAAGGAAAAGGTAGGGAAAGAAAGGAAAAGGCAGGAAAATTAATACAATGTTTGAAAAGATTTCCCTACCTTTTCCTTCAAACTAAATACAGCCTTAGAAGAGGAAAGCAGCATATAGCATAAGGGGGACATGATCTTTCTATCTTTTGTGTTTGATGCATTTTACCAGACATATAAAAGGCAAAGCATATATTGGACGGTCTTGATCTTCGAGTTGGTCTCCCACGCTCTTTGCATTATCATAGCTAGACCCCACTCCCAGAGTCCCAGTGGTGAACCCTCTTCATCCACCTCTTTTTCTTTCCCTTGGATTCCCCTAAATAGGGTGATCATAAAAAACCGAAAAATAAAAATTGAATCGATGAAATTAAATAAAAAATCAATTAATCTAATTGTTTGGTTCAATATTTTTAAAAACTCGAAAACCAATTATATATAACCTAATATATTATATATATATATATATATATATTTTGATATATTTATTTACAATTTATGTTATAAATACCAAAAAAACTAAAAAACCTATAAACAAAACCAAACCAAACCAGTTAAAAATCAAAACGATCAATTGATTAATCAATTTACTGTGGTTTAATTTTAATTCATGATGTTTCAAGAACCGATTATACCAATTCGGTTTGGAAAATAGGCCACCGTGACTAGGGGTGTAAGCGGATCGAATTCAAATTGGATTAGGCAATATATGAATTCAAATCCAATTAAAAAAATCGATATTCGAATTTGATTAGATATTCGGTGGATATTGAAAATTAATATTCGAATTCGAATCCGATTAAATATTCAAATATTTGATTCAATTTGACATCAACTAATTAATTATTTTTAAATATTTTATTTATATAAAGTATATAAATATATAAATTATTTATATAATTTAATTATTATATATAAACTATATAAAAGATTTACAAATTTTATAAATTATATATAAGAATTAAATAATTGATCGAATTTGGATATTCATCAAATCGAATAAAATCATATCTGAATTAAAATTCGATTAACTATTCAATATAAATAAAATATCTAAATTCGACCAATTAAATATTCAAATTATATGAATTCAATTCAGTTATAACAAATCTGGAATTCAAAATAAAATTTTCAAATACCTTTGATACCCATAACCGTGACCGTAAGCACCCCTTGGCATACCCCTTTGTTTTTTGCATCATTTCTTTTCTTTCCTGCCCTGCACTTCATGCACTAACGGCACTAACCAAATTGCTTTGCAGTAACTAGCAAGTGCTCGGGATCTAGTAGTATTGTAGCAATTCAAAAAAACTCTTACGTGTACTGATTTTTTTATGCAACATCTGTCACGTGGTGATTGGTTAGCTCATATGTGCACACCACATAACACATTAATAAGGCTCACACATTCCGGATTTCAATGGTTAAAGTCGTCAGAAGCCCAAGCGAAATAGTCGGAGTCTCCGTCAGGGCACGCCCGCCCAAGGGAAAAGGGATTGAATAAGGAATTAAAAAAAAAAAAAGGGAATAAGGGCTGCAGGTTGGGCCGAGTTAGGTCGGGTTGAGGCTAATCCTAGCTTAACCCTTTTAAACCCCTAATTTTATACCTCAACCCGGCCTATCCAACCCTAAGTCCCTAACCCTAATCTTAATTAAATTTCTTCAATTTTAACTCAACCCAAAGTTTTGGGTTGGGCTGGGCTTAGGTTGGGCCCAACCCAATCTTCTTTCTATCCTTTGAAATCTCATAGTTATTAATTTCAGATTTTAACTTAATTTTTATTATATATATCAATCCTATGTTTTATTAGAATTTGTTTATTGATGTTTTTATTGATTATTTAGACTTAATTTGGAAATGATACAAATGCAAATATGTACAGTGCAAATGCATACAAAATAATATAAAATATAAGGCTTTGTGCTCTACGTATTTGCATTTATACTCCTTCCAAACTCAGCCTTAAGTACAAAATTCAGAAAAAAAAAGTGTTTGAAATGATTTTAGTTTATTATGAGTTATGACTTATAATAGATATTTTATGAGCGGTAAGCTATGGGTGACAAACAAGAAAGAAGAGATAGAGAATAAAATATTAAAAAAATATAAAAAATGTTATTAAAGTTTTGGTATTTTTAATTAAGATTAAGTGAAATGATTATCTTAAAAAAAGTAAATGATAATATGTAGTAGGACTATACAACTATTATGCATCTAAATAAATCAATATATGATATCATATATATATATATATATGTATATATAATATTATAGAGTTGGATTCGGATTAATTCAAATTGCCTAAAGGATCAATCCTAACTCAACTCAAAATAAAATCAAATTCATAAATTTCAATCTTAACCCTAACTTCAACATCAACCTCACCCGTTAGACTGGATTAGGCTAGATTCGGATCAACCCGACCCAAGTTGCACCCTTAAAAAGAATCGTTAAAAGTTGAAACTCGAACATGGACCTAACAAGGAAGTGGAAGAGGATCTTTGGAAAACCGAGATATTGCAAAAAGAAGATGGGGAACAACATCGGGGCCATCCGGCCATGGGCAATGGGCCATGGCATGTGGGTGGGCGTACTACGCAACCTTGAACCTACCTGTCTCAAATCTCGAGCCCACTTGTTCCCTCTTCATTACTCATCAGTATCCAGTCCTCGACTATTAACACGTGTCGTCTCCTGATTAGCGCGAACAGTCACAGACCACACCGACTTTCCTGATTCATCTTCACGACTCTGACAGCAAAAGGGCCCCACACGGACCGTCCTCTCATTACGTGAAGACACGTGCTGTGATTCTATTGGTTCCCGTCAAGCCAATACCATCACCCTCACACCACCATCCACCCTCTCTGCTCACTCCTACTTCTACTTTCTTCTTTAGTCGGTTGAACTCTTTTGCTTCGTTGGCTTAGCTTTCTATTTCTTTTAACATATTTCCTTAATCGCGTTAGACCCGCGTCAGCACTCTGCTATAAATTCCCTAACCTCTTCATCCATCCCAAACCCAGCAAACGCCACCTATCCAAAACTGAAGTAGCCTTCCTATCTGATTCTGATCATCGTTGATCGAAGCTCTCTCTTCACTCTTCTTCTCTATTCTTTTTCTTTCCCAATTTTCTCGTTGATCAGCTTATAACGCCGACCAATATGGCGGAGCAACAGCACAACAGCCATGAGAGCGAGACCACCACCACCACCACCCATGAGCATGATGTTTCAGTAGTTGAGACCAAGGAGCGTGGCATGTTCGACTTCTTTGGTAAGAAAGAAGAAGAGAAGCCTCAAGAAGAGGTGATCGTGACCGAGTTCGACAAGGTGAGCATCTCTGAATGCGAGGAGAAGAAGGAAGATAAGAAAGAAGAAGAGGAGGGAGAGAAGAAGCCCAGTCTCTTCGAGAAGCTCCACCGATCCCACAGCAGTTCTTCTAGCTCGGTAATGTCATCTACTTCTTAAGGAAAAAATTAAATAATTCTCCTTTAATTCTTTTCGTGGTTCACATTGAATTATTCCAGAGTAGTCATTCGAACTTCTGGGTTAGAGTTATAGCTCTAAATAAGTAAGCAGGAAGAAGGATGGGGTTGCCACGTGTAGTATTAGTAGTTAAATGGTCATTTTACTTCCCTTCTTTCATTTTACTTGCAAAACTGACATTCTTGGTTGTGTGAAAATTACAGTCTAGCGACGAGGAAGAAGAAGAAGGGGAGGGAGGAGAGAAGAAAAAGAAGAAGAAGGGGTTGAAGGAGAAGATCAAGGAGAAGATATCGGGCGACAAGGAAGAAGAGAAGAAAGACGAGCACGAAGAAGACACAAACATCCCGATTGAGAGATGTGACGACATAGCCCATGGAGAGGTAGAGGCCAAACCTGCAGAAGAGAAGAAGGGATTCCTGGAGAAGATCAAAGAGAAGCTACCAGGGCAGCACAAGAAGGTGGAAGAGTGTGCACCCACCCCTCCTGCCGATTGTACCGGGGAAGCACATGCACAGGAAAGCGAGACCAAAGAGAAGAAGGGAATCTTGGAGAAGATCAAAGAGAAGTTGCCCGGCTACCACAAGAATGGAGAAGAGAAGGAAAAGGAGAAGGAGTGTGAAACCCATTAGTTTTAAGACCGGAGGTTGTGTGTTCAGGATGATGATCACGTTTTGCTTTTGGTTTTTCATGTCTTGATTGTTTCTGTCCTTGGTTTTGTGTCATGTGCTTATACATATGTAAGCTTTTTGTTGTTGGTTTTTTGATGTTCTTTATATATTGCAGTGGAGAGGGGATACCGGACCCTCGTTTTAATGTTTGTTATTGGCGAGTTTAAAGTAATATTCTTGTTAAGGCATTGATAATTGTCTTGATTTTCCTTTCTTTTTCTTTTTGTAGATCCCAAAGCTTTAACTTTATTCTTTGCTTGCCACTTGCATCAGGCGTCATTAGTGCTTGTCTCAGTCTCTCTACCCCAAACAGCATTTTGTTTTAAACCTTTTGAAAGGTTTCATTGGTGAAACAGAGCGGCAGATATTCACTTTAGACCTGCTTTCTCTTTTCCAATCTGGAGTACTCATGAGTCACGATCGGTCAGTAAGGTTGTTAATGGATCGGATGTTGGTCCAATCTGATCCGGTCCATTATAAATGGACGATGTTCAATCCAATGTCCGGACTGTCCAAATTATTCAAATTGGTTTTGATTTAGATTAGGTCCAATGACACCCATACTCTCTTATCTTATGTCAATAGACCGAATATTGGTTCAATCCTCTAGTATAAATCCATTACAAATTGATAAGGTCCAGTTGAATCTCATAAATACTTTTGACCATTAGGTCTGGTCCAAATCAATGTGCTGACCAATCCGTTCAAATTATTCGGATGGGGTTCAACCCAAACTCGATACATACCCCAACTCATGAGTGAATAACTTGTAAACAATTAGTCAATTACTGTAGCCATGTACAGATGTGTGGATTAGTATTTCTGAAAGGAAGGCAGGCAGGCAGGCTGGAGATGAGTTGATAAGGTTATCGAGTATCGACTATTGAAGAAGGGCAAAATGCCAAAACCTTGTAATCTCCTAATAAAACATGAACAAACTAGCGATCAGATGATCGAGCAGATATGTGCTGATGATCGAGCAGATATGTGAAGTCAGTACAATTGGGTCCTTGTATGCAATAAAATTGATATTTTAGTTTTTTTATTTTTATTTTTTTTTCATAACAATTGTATATATCTACGTACCCAATTACCAGCAACAGGTTGGTTGACTATAGATCTGAACTCGGTGCCACCTGTCATTCCCACACCTGAACCAGAAAGACCCGATCTGGACACGTGGTTCCTTATTTTGGACAACCATTTGATTGGTATCAGCGAGGCCATATGGGTCTCAGCCAGGATCTAATGCAAGACTCTTTTCAGAGGAAAAAGAACCTACTGCCTACCCAAGAGATCAAAGGTGCTGAACAAATAAACAAGGAAAAAATGAGCAATCATCTGCTGAGGTATGACGTAGGTATTTGTGTGTGTGTGTGTTTTTACGTGGTTCTATTCCCAAATTTCCCATGGCTACACGGCATCAAAATCTTTTAATAGGGGATACTGGAGAGGTATAAGTCCACGACCCATCTTGCGGTCCCCGGCCCCAAGGACGCTCCAACTGAGACCCAAATTTAATGCCTTAAAATATGTAGGACCCACATCGAAAGCCCAAAAGGCTCCTGTACACATTACCTATTTAAATGGTTTAGCGTTTAGGCAATTTGGTTATTCCAATTTGCATTTGTTATTTTTATTTCGGGTTATGGCATTTTTGTCTTACTTTTTTTTTTGATAAAGCATAATACTAGTAACTAAGTACATGCGCTCTATATGAGAAGTTTTTCTTTATATTAATTACTTGAATTTTAGGTATATTATAGTTAAGATAGAAATTGAAAATTAAYAAAAGTAACGATATGATTAAAACTTAAATATTTGTTATTCAATTCTGATATCATGGGTTTCTTGGAAAAGTCGGATCATTGACCCAACATCTAGATAAGAAAATAGCATTGCTTTTGGATTAGTTTTAAATTAGGAAAAATTATAGTCAAAGCTGGCTATACATTTAAAACTAGGCAACAAGTTGGTCCATAAACCAACATAACTCTGACAACAGGCTCTACATTTCAAATTATAAAAATGCCCACCATGTCATCGGAAGCTTATGTGGTTGTTGCCAATATGAGACTCTTAGTCTATGTTGGACGCAACAAAAAGCTTATATTGAAATTGCCCTTTAATGTTGGGTGATTGGAAAATAAAAAAAAAAATGATTTTTACTCTCTCTCTCTCAATCTCTCTCTCTCTCTCTCTCAATCTCCCTCACACCATCTGATTCACAGTCATCTTTATCTACTTAATGACTATGTGATTTGAAAATAAATAAAAATGGTTTTTGGTTTTTGTATTTACGTTCTCTCTCTCTCTCTCTCTCGTTCTCCCTCAATTTCTCTCATTCTCTTTCTTGGTCGATCTCTCATTCTTCCTTAATTTCTATCGTTCTCCTTCAGTTTCTCTCCCACTCCCTCTCTCTTTTGTTTTATTTTCTTACACACTTATATGGTATTAATTAGATCGTATAAAAGAACATAAAACCAACTTGGTATGGTTAAAAAATTATTACACCAATTTGATTAAAATTCACAAGAAACTCTTGGCTATGAAATTTACATAAATTGGAGAACGATAGAGATTAAGGGAGAATGAGATATTGACCTAAAGGGAGAGTGAGGGAGAAGAATGAGAAAGATTGAGGGAGAGCAATAGAGAGAGAGGGAGAGAGAGAGAAGTTTTGATTTGGTTATAGACCGAAGTTGAGAGTGGGAGATCAAGAGATGACTATGAGAGTGAGAGAGAAGAGAGGGAGATCGAGAGACAAAGGGAGTGGAAGAGAAATTGAAAACCTATTTTTGGTATATCCATGTTGGTAACAACCACATAAGCCTCTAATGACATGGCAGAGGTTTTTATAATTTGAAATGTAGAGTTGGTTGTCAAGAGTTTTGTTGGTTTTTATATCAACCTACAACCTAATTTTAAACGTATAACCGGCTTTGACCATAATTTTTCCTTTAAATTATATATTTTATTTACAGTATATAAAATATTTTTTACTTTTCGCACTTATTTTTTATTTGTCTATGGTATCATTTGACTCAAACCACTAACCCACCATTTAAAAATAAAAATTGTTTGATTTCTAGTTTGATATTAAATTTTGTATTACATTTCCATCATTTATAAAATTATTTCATATGTATAAAACTTATTTTTGTTTAATATAATGAATGCAAAATTTTAGAGATATACCCAATATTTTATTTTTATAAATATATAACATTAGATATGTGCACAAAATTTTCTTTGTCGTTTTTTTATTTTTGTGATTCTTTGTATTTTCTATTATTAAAAATTTTATTATTTGACTATGAAATCATTTAATTTCTAAGTAGATTTTGAATTTGGCATTCCATTTTTATTATTAACAAAAATACTTATTACATTTCATAGTTATTTATTTTAAATATTTATTATTTAATTATGACATTATTTATTAACCCATTTGACCCCAAATGGTTAAATTACTTACCTACCACCGGGAGGGAAGAAAATGGTTTTGTTTTCAAATTACTTTTCAAAGTATTCATTTTTATACTATAAAAATTAATATTATGAATTTAATTACAAGAATTTAATGATGAGAAAAATATATCTTAAATATAGGATTTAATGAGAGAGAGAGAGAGAGAATAGGAAAATATTTTTATTTCCAATTGGTTTTAAATTTTACATTCCATTTCCATCATTAATAAAAACATTTCTTATTTATTATACTTATTATTGTTTAATATGTATGTTAAAAATGTTCCTGATTTTTTTTTATTTTTAATTTTATCTATTTTATCTATTTATTGTTTAATCGTGGAAACATGGATTAACCCATTTAACTCAAAATGATTTAATTTCTTACCACCACTTAGATGAAAACACTATTTTTGCTAAATAGATTTTGAAAGTATAAGCTTTTGTGTTATTGGAATTATTAATTTATTAAGTATGGATTTAATTAGTAGAACTTAATGATGAGAATAAACAAAAATGACTTAAATATATGATTCAATAAATATGAATGCAAATTAATAACTTAAATGTTGGGTTTAATGAGAGAGAATTGAATGAATTTGATATCTTCAAATTACCCCTTTTCAATTCATTTAATATTAAGAACCAATTACCCTATTTGTCCTCATTTTTTTATCAATAAATTTAAATATAGAGGGGTAAATTTTGTCTTTAGAAAATTCCAGAAATATTCTTGAGGCCATTCATGCCTTTTAAAGTAATATAGATTATACATGACAATCGGGTTAACTGTTTCAAGCAGGATGGATCCAATAATTCACGTCCTATATACAAAACCACACCCCTTTTTTCCAGATCCGACCAAATTTAGACCTGCACTGATTGAGGGAACTGATGCAAATGTGGGATTAGGATCCTATCACCACCCTAAAACATTTGGCCCAGTTTGTGTTCAAATTTTCAATTTTAGGCCCGGGTTGGATTTGGTTTAAAACTTGGTAATGACCCTTCAGGGAGTATAGCTCCCCACAGTTGGTTTAGGTTGTGTTTTACATCATTGCTGTTTCTATCCAAAATATTTTTGGTTTTAATCACACATTGGTGAGAAATAGGGCTGTAAATTGATTGGATTTGGGTTAAGATCTAGCTGCATCCACATTCGATCATGAAATTTCTAGAACCGTATTGACGTGTAGGATTTTGGATAAGATTTGGATTTAATTCACAACTATATTGTGTTTTAAATGACAAAAAAACTAAAAAAAGGTTAAAAAAACTAATTCATAACATAATAATGTTTTATTGGACTCAGATTTTAATTGGATCGGATGAGATTAAATCTGCATCTGATCCAATTATTAATCGGATGCAAATTCTAATATCTTTTTTTTTTGGCTAATAACAAGTTCTAATATCCAAATCTAGGATAATTAGATTCGGAATTAACCGAATCGGGGTATCGGACTTTCAAAACCCATTGATAACTCTAGTGAAAAATGTGTTGTCACAACACATATAAGAGTTGGGCTTGGATTTCCTACCAACAAACTTTTCCTACAAGCATGCATTGGGAATATCTCCCTTATCATTTATAAAAGATGTTTCCAATACATGACGATAGCGTCTTGTGGGTAGGAATGTAGAGTAAGTTTGTGGGTAGTGAGTGCTTGAATAATGTAATTCTTGATGTTATTGAGCTAAGTTCAAGGCTGTCAAGTTGTCCTTTCCTGTCCTTGAG